TATGTATATTGAAAAGGAACTATAAATACCAACAACACAAAATGGAGCTCGCTCAGAAGCTAAAATACACCAAGTAAATGAGATGAAGATTGTGAAATAGAGTAGGGTAAGGGAAGAAGAGAGGGATAGGAGAGAGGGCAAGGGGGGAAGAGGAGGAGAGAAATGAGGAGTGGAAAGGGGAGAGAGGAGAAGGAGAGAGGAAAGGGAAGTAGAGAAGGATGACAGAGGGAAGAAAGGAGATAGGGAGGGGGAGGGGAGAGAGAGAAGAAAGTGATGGACAAGGTACAAATATGGTGTATGGAGAGCAGAAGAGCCAATAATTGTTTTGGGAGTTGATGGTAAGATGAATTGATGTAAACATTTAATAATACAATATGATGTTCGCTATGTAATAGTATACATGTGATTATATGTTATGAAAATGAATAAACAAAAAAACTCTATAATAAAAAAATCACGTAACAGGGAGGTGAAGTCTCTTGAATTTTCCATTTGAACCTTCTTCTCACAAATTTCTTCTCCCTCCCTTTTTTAATGATGTTGCAAAGGAATGTTTTTCCTAGCAAAAAAGAAGTCCGAATTCCATGCAGTGAAGAAATAAGGACTCATTTTAGAGTACAAAACTGATGGGCAGATGAACCAGGAATAGCTTCCTCCATTTCTTTCAATGTTCTCTTTCCCGTAAAATAATCTCTTCCTGTTTCATACAAGTGTTGCGAGGCTCCAAAGTGGGGAGATGTGGTGTGTGCAAAAGAAAGAGACTGCTTTATGTTTTATTCTATGCCACCATTGTAGAATAAAGCACAGTAGCCTGAATTCACGCACTGAATGAAGTCATAAAGTCATGAAGTCTTCCTCTGTCTGGGAGAGGGCTACTTTTAAAATATGATGAATAAACCTAGTTTGCAAACCATGGCATTCCCAAGACCCACAAAACCGAACCAAATAAACTATGCTTATTATTTGCACTAGGTGTGAACCCAGGCAGAGATGGTGACCATATCTGTAAAGGAACAGTGTATTTGACAGGTGATGTTTTGTTATGCTTTTCCAAAATTTACACTTGTTGTTTGATAGAACTAATGAGCTAAAAGTAACATTGAATATTACTTAGTCTAATCCCTGGTCAGTTAACTAATTAAGAATGTGAAGACAAAGCTAAGATCTTCTTTTTCCTTGGCAGCATCCCAGCTTTAAAAATCTACCTCTGTTCTTTCTCCTTTAGAAGATATCGACTATCAGTGGCTTTGGGTGAGGAAGGAGCTGCCTGAAACTCACTGTAACATCAATGGGAAGGTAGGAAAAACTCATCTGAGAGCATCTTCAACAGAGATGGGTTGCTACTGGTTCGGCCTGGTTCAGCCAAACTGGTAGGAGTATTTTGGCCTGGGTCACAGAATTGGCAGCAACCCCACCTGGCCATGCCCCTGAACTGGTTCCTCGGTCGCCGCTGCTGTTGCCAGCATGTTGATTAGTGGTACGTGCATGTGCGCAGTTCACTGTAAATTGTTCTGCACATGCAAAGTGCACACAAAGTGAACCGGTAGTAAAACCGGGAGCAACCAACCTCTGATCTTCACTGAAATTTGATTTCCTTTCCACTCTGAAAGCAAATATCCAGAATTTGAATTTACCAGTAGTTTATAAAATGAAAATAAACAGATTTACCTTACCAGATTGAACAACGTGTATTGTCTTTTCCAAGATCCCATGTGGAAAAGTATGAAAGGAACATAGGTAAAAACCAACATCTTTCTCAGTGGCATTGCTGAAAATCAAAGTCTTATTGTCTGAGGTAAAATTAGTGACCAGGACTCTGGCCTTATAGTTGCTTTCTATATGTAGATCATAAGGCAGCCTGAAAGCGGCGATGAGCTGTTTTGTTTGATTCTCTTCCTTCTCCCATACCATCTGAGAAATAGATGCATTCATTGGGCAGACACATTTAAGAGCCATGGTACTGGAGAGTTTCACAATCGAATCCACATGTTTTCCCTCTGCCATTAAAGATACATTGCCTAAAACAAAACATTTTTATTTTGTTAAAAAGTGAGTCACAAAAAAATATCCATTTGACACGTGGCCACTGATCAAACAAAGTCTTTTCCTCAACCCAAACTCTTTATAGTTGCACAGCAAGCTCTGGAAACCCATCTCCAAAGTTATTACTAATAATATTACAATGAGGTTATAATATTGACTACAATTTCTCCATTATCCAATTCATTTTGAATATAGTCAGATTCACGAATGAGTTAAACATCCATAGGATTGCGACACTAGAAACAAATAGCAGCGGTCTTACTTTTATTGGAATAAATTACTTCAAAACTTCATAGATTTTTAAGGCAAAACAGCAACAAGAAAGAAATGTTTTAGTTAAGAAATGAATCTTACTTTGATAGGACTGTAGAAAAGCCATCACCAAGAACACAAGGCAATTCATCTTCAGCACAGCAAAAAAGGACTGAGAGAGCTTCATCTATGCTTTCTGTGTTTCCTAGTCACATGGTAGGGAGGATGGTATTTTTATCTGAACTAGCAAGACAAAGGGCTACATCACTTTCAGGAGCTCTTGTAGTGCAGGGGTGGCTGTAAAGCGACACAGGAAGCTCATTTACACAAGTTGTCATGAATTCCATGACAATTTAGGACACTACAGGCTAGCCTCCCCCCTTAGATCAATTCCAATATTACTTTTGTACTCTTAAGTTTGTGCTAAGAAAATTGATTGGTTGATGATTGATTGATGATTGATTGATTGATTGACCTTCCTGAATTGGCTCCTTCTTTTCTCACAGTTGAATTTCTCTGTCTTAGTGTTTTGAATGGAAGCATTGGCAGCACTTTGTTGCCATCTGTAAAATTATGCTTACTGATTCTTATGTCCTTCCTTCCTTCCTTCCTTCCTTCCTTCCTTCCTTCCTTCCTTCCTTCCTTCGTTGTGCAAATGAATCTCTTTGCCAGGGAACAAATAAAGCCTTCCCTTAGTTTCAGGTCTACAGAGTTTACAGAGTCAGCATATTGCCCCCAACAATCTGGGTCCTCATTTTAGTGATCTCGGAAGGATGGAAGTCTGAGTCAGCCTTGACCCGGTGGGAATCGAACTCTGGCAGTCAGCAGAATTAGCCTGCAATACTGCATTCTAACCACTGCACTACCACGGTTTATGGGTGGAGTTTTATATCTCCCATTCCATTGTTTTAGAATTATTAATACATTCCCAATCTCCAACATAGGAAAGTTCATAGTTATTTCAACAGATGTAAATCTGTTAGAGTTCCCCAATTGTTTTTGCTCAGGGAGGGCGTTCACCAGGTCTCTCCTATTAAACAATGTCATCTTGTTGGACCCCTGAGTCATGCTTTTTCAGCAACAGCAGCTGCATGTGAAACAGCATTTCCCTGGATATCTAGATGATCCTGACCTTGATAGTCTTTCATTGGGCCAAGTGGCTAGATGAGCTCTCCTGTTGTCAACATGAGCTTTCTTGATTCATATAATGGCAAATGAGTAGGGTTATTCTTTATCCTTGTACACTGGGATTATAGGTTGTTAGTTTTTCTCTGTGGTTTTAATCCTTGTAAGCTGCCCAGTTGCTTGTGTGATGGGTGGCTGTGTCAATCATGTAAACAAACAAATACTTCTATTTTAATCCAACAGACAAAAGCTGTATATCACACGGCAAGCATAGCCCATCAAGTCAGAAGACAATCTTAACAGTGTTATAAGAAATGACATTGGTTGAAACATAATTTCTCAGGCTGTATCACCTAGCTGTGAAATGGAGATACTGGGAAACAAGATAAGCATTTCATTGTTCCCGGTTGCAAAGTTCCAAGGATGATACTAAACAGAAATTCCATCATATTTAATTTAAAGTTACTCAGTAAAATGCCACATGAAAGGCTCCACTCAGGACAGCAGCACAATGCGCTTTCTGATATCGGATGTATTATCTAAGGGCTGCAAAGCAGTGTGCCAAGATAAATTACACCTTGCACTATTCTGCCATCCGAGGTAGATAGCTGTTTTGATTTAAACTCAGGACAGGATGAGCCAGAGGCAGCAGCAGCAGAAGGATATGACGGTAACGTTTCAGCATTTGGAACTGCACATTTCATCTGATTAACCTTATTATTGATATTTTATCCTTCTTAATCAGGTAGCTATTCTGGATTTTAATTTCTCTCTGTAAAATCTTGACTGAAACTGGCCATGAACCCTGACTGGAAGCTGCAGAAATTCTGACAAGGAAAAGTTTATGGGGTTGACCTCATATTTGACAGATTTTTCAGAACAGCAGGCAATAAAATTGCTATTTGATGAAAACCACAGCTTTGTCTTAAGTGAAGAATAGTCAACCCGTTCCTACAAAAGACACAGCTCAATATATAAGTTTTGCTGCATTTTTTTTCCTGAGGACATTAATTTACCTTGGTTTGTCAAACGAACAGTCTTTACAATAAGTGCCTCATCCTTTTTGGTGCATTGTTTTTCCATCTAAATGACATTTTTGTTAAATTTGGCATCAAAGGATGAGGGGAGTTTCATGATTATCCATATTTAACAGGAGCATCAAGGAAAGCTTTATTTGCAAGTGCATTGCTATATGAGCTTGACTCTTCTTCACAGAATGAAAGATACTTCAATTCAGGAATTATCTTTTCCAGAATATGCAAAAGCATCAATTAGCATACAAACAAGAGTAATGAAAGCAATATAATCTTGACACAACATTGGGGGGGGGGGGAAATACGGAGGCATTAGCAGGGTATGGCTGAAAAAAAAAATCAAAATGGTGATGATGACACTCTAATCAAAGCTCGGCCTGGCTTGATTGCACCATTGTGGTGAGTTCTCTAAAGAGATTCTTTAAAACATCTTTGTAGTTAGACCAACAGTTCCAATAAACAAGAATTCAGTGCACTGCAGAGAGTAAAAACAGTTTTGGTGGTATCTGTAACAGGAAAATAAATTGAAATGGCAGTTGCAACTGCTTTTGCAGTTCAATAAATTGAAATGTGGTTGAAGCTCTGACCGTAGGGAGAAAGATGGGTTTTATCACATTGCCACAACCATCGTGAGTTTTGGTTTTTTTGTTTTTAAGTGTGGCTTGTAAACATTCCTGAAAAACGTTTCTGATAAAATCCATATTTAATCATTTAATATTGAAAGAGAAATGTAGAAATTGCAGATACTGTTGTTGATTTAATCTAGGCTGATTATGAGTCAGACTTCTGTTAATCTGTTAACATAAACCAAATAGTTAAGCATCAAATTTCCAAGGTTCTAATTTGAACATTAACACGGGGGTTCTGGAATTTTAATGAATTGGGGTTTAAGTTGATCTGAAAAGTTTATTTTAAATTTGAGTGCTTAGCCCTTCATCAAACAAGTGAATCCAAGATGATTCACAACAGTATACTATACAGGTAGTCCTCAGTTTACAACAGTTCATTTAGTGACCATCCAAGGTTACAACAGCACTGAAAAAAGTGATTTATGACCATTCTTCAGTTCCGACCTATGCAGCATCCCCATGATCAAGTGATCAAAATTCAGATGCTTGGCAATTGGCTCATATTTAGGATCATTGCTGTGTTCCAGGGTCTTTTGATAAACCTTTTGACCTTCGGACAAGCAAAGTCAACGAGGAAGCCAGATTCATTTAACAATTGGGTAACTAATGTATCAACTGCAGTGATTCATTTAACAACTGTGGCAAGAAAGGTTGTAAAATGGGGCAAACCTGACTTAAGAAATGTCTCATTTAACAACAGAAATTTGGGGCTCAATTGTGGTCGCAAGTCAAGGACTACCTGTATTAGAAGGTGAGAGTGGAGCATGGCCAAAGCTTGCACTTTTTATATCCATGTTACGCATGCTAAAAAGAACTGGGGTTCCAAGTGAGACTTTTTGTCCAGTATCATTGACTCCACCTCCCGTGTGTGTGTGGGGGGGGGGGGGCGGATTGCCACTCCTGTCACTAACTCATTTCTGACCTAAATGCTGATATATATGTTTAATTCCTGTATGGGAAAAATATAGTAATTTGGCTAACGTATGACATGCTGTCTGGTGCCTCTGGGCAATGTTTTGCAGCTGCTATATTGCCCTTTGCTTTGTCACAGTTGTAACTGACGAATTATCTTTAAATCTATGGTTTTCAGCACACAACCCACAGATGTTACTTGCTATTTCCACTATGCAAGAAATTTCCTCCACAACCCACAGAATTATAGATCTCTCAAACACAGTAGTCACGACACTTGCATTTTTTTTTTCCAACAGCAATTATTATAAAAAATGCCATGTTACTATTAGGTCTTTTTCTCTCATTTATATTTTTAAAATGATTTTCATTCCATTAAAATCTCCAATGAAGATAACCTGAAATTTAGAAGATAGTTCATACTATATGTACAACTGTTATCAAGGACACATTATCTTCCAAAGGAATCCATTCACATAATTGACTGCGATTGATGAGCATTAACTGGTGAATTATTAAGAGATGCTAAACATGGTCTAAGCTTCCTGTAAAATGGTTTGACTGTATTAAGAAATAAAGAGAATAATCTCTTGTTAAAAAATAGTTTGAGGTAAATTTTCTGGTGCTCTATTGTAGCAAAAATGTACATCTCGGGCATCAATTTCTATACAGTACCAAGTAAACACCACCAACATTTATGGTCTTGCATATGATGCTGATATATTTTTTTTATAAAACTATTTCTTACAATAGCTATATCTATTTGTTTTAAACTTTCACTTCAGTGTTTGATTGTGGGAATATGATCAAATAGAAATTATTAGATGTGGCAGTCAAAACACAATCAATCAATCAAGGGAACAAGCAAGAAATTAAGCATTTGGTTTAGACAATGATCTTTCATTTAATCTTTCTTTTCAGTTTCTTTTCTTTTCTTTTTTCCAGTTTCTACTTATTTTTTTTTGGGGGGGGGAGGTAAATCAAATGAAGTCTTTGAAAGTGACCTAAATTCTACCTTAGAGAAGTTAAAAAACTAATAAGCGATGCTTATTGTGCTAGGAAACAGGGTTAAAAATAATAATTTAAAAATATTATTTATGTAAAGCAAGGCATTCAATAATGTGACCTTGGAAGACAGAATGTGATTGGATGAAGAGCCGAGGTGGCGCAGTGGGTAGAGTGCAGTACTGCAGGCCACTTCAGCTGACTGCCATCTGCAGTTCAGCGGTTCAAATCTCACCGGCTCAGGGTAACATCCTTCCGAGGTGGGTAAAATGAGGACCCAGATTGTGGGGGCGATATGCTGACTCTGTAAACCGCTTAGAGAGGGCCGAAAGCCCTATGAAGCGGTATATAAGTCTAACTGCTATAAGAGAACTCATGACGTTTCCTTGGTCTCTTCTCATCTTCCCAGAAAATGAATCAATAGAAAAATGAAGGATGGGATTACTTGACTTGGCATCTTAAGTATGGTCAAACAATCCTGCTCTGTTTTTTTTTAAAGAGCAAACTATGTAACAGGCTAAACATGCATTAATATAATTTACATCTCAGACTTTTTTTTCCTGTCATGATTTGTTCATCCTCAAAATTCCTCTAGAAACATTTGACAATTGCTCATGTCTCCATGGTCCTCCAGCATCTGAGAAGCTGGCTGGAATGCAGCACCCATTCTTTTTATCTCAAAACTGGGCCATTGCCCTAAAGAAACAACACTTCTTTCTACAATCTCATTATTAAAACATATTTATTAATACAAGCTCAAACATTGCAAAAATATATATTCACATAATTACAATTTACAATTAGCTGCTTCATTACTTCCTTATATCAGTCTGTAACACCATAATGCTAGAATAGCATTTCCATGGTGGCATTTACTATACATTCTTCAGATTGACATCATCTACTGTTAAGTCAAAAACTGTGCAAATGTTCCTTTTCTTGATAGATAATCCAATAAGAGGGATTTAATATTTAATATGCCATTTTAGTTCTCGTGCCTTTTGGAAAATCTAGTCCAATTGATATGCCCTCTGTTAACATGGTGTCTATCAACTGCTGAGAAGCTGTACAAGTGTTTCCAGGCACTTTATGTGATACGTTTCTTCTTGACTTTCTTGTGGCTGTTGAAGACCTAAAAGGGAAATGCATTAACTTTTAAAATAACAGCTTAATGTCTGAATTGAAAAGAGACATAAAACCCAAACCTGTTACATTGTCATTTTGTTGTGAATAGTTACAATTCTGATAGTCCATTATTTAGTCATATTAAATTAAAATACATTTCCATCAAAATCTGGCAGCTGAGTTTGAACTTGATCCAGGAACGCCTACATTAACTAGCAATGCCTCCCCCGAGTTTCTAACATTGGTGTTCCCGGTCCTATCTGGTTATGCTAAAGTTTAAACTGAGGGGCCACACTATTCTACAGACCTTTCTTTATTATTCAAAACATTTAGACAATGTTACAATATATTATATAATAAATAGAGCCTTACAAATCTATTTGAATGGGTGAGGACTGCATTGGTCTTTCAACCAAACAATGCCTCGTTCAATATTCCCTTCTATCGTTTAGAGCAGGGGTGTCCATGCCTGGAAACTTTTAAGACCTGTGGACTTCAACTTCCAGAGCTGGCTGGGGAATTCTGGGACTTGAAGCCCACAAGTTTGAAAGTTGCCAAGATTGGACATCTCTGATTCATGTTGTGTCTAAACATGCAGATTATATTGCACATAGAATGGTCCATGTTTGAAATCTATCTTTTCTAGAACAGAAGTACTTTTGGCTATCCCAACAACCAAACATTCCATGGTTTGTTTATAGTTTGCAAACTCTTAACTCACTATTGATTTGTACTGTATTATACATTTAGTATATGAAATAGGGCACAAATCAACATTTTTAAAAAGTGTTTATTTTTATAAAAGAGATTTAACACATGCTTAATTCTTACATTTTTTTAAAAAAATGTTAATTTTAAAATGGTAATTGCCCTTTTCCTAGAATTAAATCTCGCTGTGCATGGAAATTCTATTTTTTTCCTTGCACAGGCATTAAATTGACTTTGTGTGCACAAGCTTTTGTACAACTCATTATGATTTACTGATAGTGCTGCTTGTGCTAATTATACCTGTTATTTATTTATTTTTTGCTTCACTATATAGCTCTTTCACTTTGTAACTAGCTTGGATGTAAATCAAGATAATCCACAATTGGTTCTCTAGAGAAGGCTATACAAGCTGGCTTTTGAAATGATTATTTTGATATCCTATTTTTTTTTCTTTTACTGAATGTTTTATGGCTGAATCAAGAAATAGATGTGAAAATAAATCAAGAATGTCTCAGAAGATGGAATACTTCTAAAGCATATACACCAACCAAATCATAATGCTCAGGAATATCCATGGGAAACATTACAGATTTCTCTCTCTCTAAAATACAATGTGCTCATGATACACCTATTTTTTGTTTTTCAATTATAGACTGCATTTCTCTAAAAGTTTAATCAATATATTGTAAAGAAAAATCTCATTAAACTATGAAAACATCTGTAATATTCAGCTCATCTAGTATAATGTAACGTTTTTCCTGGAAAAACATAGGGGAAAGCTTAATTGGCTTTTTATCTAGTGAATTATCCAAAATTACTTTCCAGCTGTGCTGATATTAGCCTGGCAATTTCCTTTATGTTTACTGTCTGCCAGATAGGAACCTCACCCGCTGGCAAGACCCAGGAAGCAACCATTTTGTTGTTGTTGTTGTACTTGAATAATAAGTGCAGCTGGATAATCCTGATGCCTATCACTAACAAATGCATTCTACCTACAATTTTTGTTTTATTATTAACTTTAAAGAACGGTGAAATTTATAGCTAAAATTTTGGACCCAATGATTCAACTGCCTTGCTTAGTTTCCCTAACCCACTAACATCTTGCCTGTAGAATATACCAGTGCCATTTCCCCAAAAAAGTAATTTCCAAATCATGCATATTTCTCTCCATCCGCCTGTCCATCTATTCCTCCATGCAAGCAAATGGACTTTAAAAAGTAGTATCCAGAACTCATAAAAATTTTAGAAAGTTGCCTTTTCTTTGAGAATATCCTGTCTACACACACACACACAAAAACACACACACAAACACACCACTCATCCAATCCCAATATTGTATTCTTGGGTAAAGTTGAAAATTGAGCACATATTCACATATCAAATGCTGTTTGTTTGAGATGGAAACTGAACTTGTTAATAACATACATTTCTTTCCTGACATCAAAGCTTCATCCACCCTTCTTTTTATTGATGGATTCTTCAAAGTCACTTTTGCCTGTAGAACACACACACAGACAACAAAAGAATAATTCAATGTTTGTTAATTCCCCTGTGCTGATGCTCTTCAAATCATTTCTTCGTCTTACTCCTTCCTTGGCAGCGGGCCATAAGGCTATGACATTCAAAAACTTAAGAATGCAAAACATGGAGGTACTTCTGTGAATTGTTTGATGTGGGTGGTGGTGAGTGCAGGGTAGAACAGGAGAAAGAAAACAGGTTCAATGAAATAACACAATAAAAAGGAGAAGCTTTTCCCCCCAAAAAATAGCTGTTTGCAATGCTCAGCATAACAGAATGCTCCCTATTGAATATGAACCTGCTTTACAGCCAGTCAGTACTCCAGAACAAGCATAGGGTGTTTTTTACATTGTAACCAACATTGTGTTTTAAAGATAGTCTTATGATGTGATATACCCATGTTAATTTGCTGAATGAATGTATAATTCAGAAACTTAGTGCAAAGGAAAAGAAAAATATATGGTTTAATCAGACATATCCTAACAATCACTTGCATTCATAATGGTAAGAGCTTCATAAACTATATTCAGAACAAGACTGTAGCAACAAGAAAAATGAATATTAAAGGAGATTTCTATCATATTATACTGAGTGGTTTTTTAACCTTGGTAACCTGAAGACATGTGAACTTCAACTCCCAGAATACACCAGCCAGCACTGCTGACTAGGGAATTCTGGGAGTTGAAGTTCACACATCTTTAAGCTGCCAAGGTTGAGAAACACTGCTCTAATGTAAACCAGACAATGCCAAACCTGGATTTTGACATTCAGTAATGAGTAAGGGTTGGAGAGAGTGAGAGAAATATAATATTAAAGCTGAAGAATAGGATATATATCTTTCATCTATTAAATGGAGCTTTAAACATTTTGAACCACAGCCATAATCTTATTGTTATGCAGTCAGTGCTTTTCAGGGACAAGTGACCTGTGCTTTTTCCATCTTGAAAGCTAGAGAAGACTGAACTGTGTTTTGGTTTTTTTGGTTGTTTTAGCTCTAGAGTGTAACAAAATATTGACAAACATTCTTCTTTTTTGTAAGAAATTGCTGAAGAAGAGACAGCAGAGTTAGAAATGAGAGAATGAGTGGAAAACAGATCAAACTAGAGGAGAAAAAAAAAACCCTGAAATTCATGGAAGAAAAGAACAGCTTATTTGCCAGACTTAAAGATGATGTTCTTTCATGCATTACATCGGTGGTTCCCAAACTTGGCAACTTTAAGACTTGTGGACTTCAACTTCCCAGAGCTCTGCTGGCTGGAGAATTCTGGGAGTTGAAGTCCACAAGTCTTAAAGTTGCCAAGTTTGGGAACCACTGCATTACATAAAGTAAAAAAAAATCTGTGACCTTTTTTAATAATAAACATTTGAACCCAGAAAATACAAGGAGACTGTCTCAAAAATTTTCCTTTGTAAAAAATAGTGTACTTATACTGAAGAACCAAAATAATTTTAAATAGTATGTTTTTGAGTGAAATAGGACCCGCCATTTTTGCTACATGCTTTCATCTGCTGCAACATTGTGCTTAGATTAGTGAGAAAAGGGCTAATGGCAGACACATGGCATCATAAATTCTTGATGTATTATGGGGAACTCATCAAATTGCAGACAAGACCAAGCTGGTAAGAATAGCCAACGCTCCAGAATATAGGCTTAAGATACAAAAGGGATCTTGAAAGACTTGAATGTTGGGCCCTATCTAACGAAATGAAATGTAATGGTAAAAAAAAGGAAGGTTCTATATTTAGGCACGAAAAACTAAATGCACAGATATAGTATAGGTGCTACTTGGTTTAATAGTAGTAATCTTGAAGTCCTAGTGGACAATAACTTAAATATGACCCAGCAGTGTGCAGCAGCTGCCAAAAAAGCCAACACAGTCCTAGCCGGATTAACAGAGGGATAGAATCAAGATCACTTGAAGTGTTAATGCCACTTTACAATGCCTTGGTAAGGCCACACTTGGAATACTGCATCCAGTTTTGGTTGCCATGATGTAAAAAAGATGTTGAGTCTATAAAGAGTGCAGAGAAGAGCAGCAAAGATGATTAGGGGACTGGAGGCTAAAATATATAAAGAATGATTGCTAGAATTGGGTATGTCTAGATTAATAAAAAGAAGAACTGGGGTGACATGATAGCAGCGTTCTAATATGTGAAGGGCGGCCACAAAGAAGAGAAGGTTAATCTATTCTCCAAAGAACCAGAGGGCAGGACAAGAAGTAATGGATGGGAAGCTAGTCAAAGAGAGAAGCAACCTTGAACTAAGAAAAAATTTCCTGACAGTTAGAACAATTAATTAATGGGATGACTTGCCTCCAGAAGTTGTGAATGCTCCAACACTCCAAGTTTTTAAGAAGAGGTTGGACAACCATTTGTCTGAAATGGTATAGGACTTTCTGCCTGAACAGGGAATTGGACTAGAAGACCTCCAAGGCCCCTTCCAACTCGATTATTGTGTTATCATATGCATATGATGGACACTGCAATTTATGCACTGTTATATGATTGTTGGGTGTAAGTACATAATGGGGGATTTCTATCATATCATAATCACATAAGTGTCATCATTTCAACATGCAGTTTGCTGCAGACACAACTGGATGTTTCCAATTCTTAGATTCTTTGATTTTTCTCAACGATTTCACTGATTATATTCAATGGCAATCAACTGTATTACTGACCATATTATGAAAATGTAGGCTAGGTGGATGTGTCCTTATGTGTATAGAGAGACTGATGTATTTGTGTATGCATTACTATACACATGCAGACTAAGGGATTAGTGCCTCATTGAAAATTGCAGTACTTCTGTATGAATACAGGAGAAACAAAATCCTCATGCCTTTAAAACACTAACCTTCTGATAGTTGTGAAGCAAAGCCCAAATTGCAGATGCTCCTATTCTCTGAGCTGTAAGGCTATCACTTTCCAGACAGGCAGATAGCAATGCAACAGCTTTATCTAGGAGGAAGAAAAAAGACCACACATGTATCTAACCAATATCACAGTTTCAGCTTCCCCAATGCATTCTTGTCAGTAATTTCCCACTTCCTGTGATAAATATTATGGCAATGCATAGGCTTGTAAAAGCCACAACAATTTCATTTCAAGAAACCTCTAAACCAGTGATTGTGAACCTTTTTCTTATGGCGTGGCAAAATTGTGTGTGTGCACGCTATCGCGCTTGCTCGCATGCCCACACCAATTTAATCCTCCCTACCCACCTGCGCATGCATGCATGACATGACACCCTCTCCCGTGTGTGCAAACATGACACCCCCCCCCCAGGTTCTGGAGGTTTTCCTGAAGCCTGGGGAGGGCAAAAACGGCCTCCCTTGTCCCCCCCCTGGAAATGGATTGTTTCCAAACTTCCGGTTGGCTCATTGGGGGCACTTTTTGCCCCTCCCCAGACTTCAGGAAAGCCTCCGGAGGCTGGGGAGGGCAGAAAACAGTCCCAACAAGCCAATTGTAAGTTTGGGAACGAACTTCCAGTTGGCTGGTGGGGCCTGGTTTTTGCCTTCCCCAGCCTCTGGAGGCTTTCCTGAAGTCTGGGGAGGACAAAAACAGCCTCTCCTGTCCCTCCGGAAGCCCAAAAATCAGCTGGCCGACAAGTGCATGCACGCTGGAGCTCATGACTGGCATGCCAGAAAAAATGGCTCTGTGTGCCACTTGTGGCATGCATGCCATAGGTTTGCCATCATGGTTGGAACAGTAACTTCTTCTATTGCATTGGTGTTAAAAAAAGACACAGAGCTCCAGATGTGAAGGAGAAAATGTGACATGGAACACACATGCAGCATCAGTTGGCAACTTTTTCACTCATATGTGTCACTTTCTTTAAAAAGATGCCCAGAGGTATTCCATGGATTACCTTTCCCCCTTTAGATCTAGGCTGTTTTAGATCCCTATTAAAAGTTGTTTAAAAATAAATCTAAATGTAAGGAATAATGCCAAGTTTTCAGAACTTAAGTTACTGGCTATCTTCTTGTACTAATTATCCTATAAATATTCTATATTACACATAATCTATTACATTTATTATATATTGAGGGCAATGATTAAGATGCTGATTAGCCCTTCTCAGTATTAAAAAAGTCCTATAATTCTGCTTTCATGCAAGGTTTGTGATTGTGCCTCCAAAAATTACTGTCTATTGCACTTGAGTTCTTAGTATGATTTTGTTCAGAGCATCAATTATTGACCTTCCGTATAGCTATCTTTAAAAGATTTTGTAACTGGGTAATACAAATTTTCCTTTCTTGGCCAGCACCGTACATTTTTCCATCCACTGTCTTTATTTATAGGTCTTTCCTCCCTCCTTCTCACCTTCAACATATGCTGAGTGATTAAGAGGACTCCTTGCAGAAAATCTTGTGTGATAGTCTACCAAAATAGTCAAGCAAAGAAAATCTAGGATTATCTGCTTTTAAAATTGAATCTTATATGGTCATTGAAGGAACAATGCCCACAATAATATGTAAAGCCTTTACATATTACTATACTTTGCATAGTAGTTCTGAGCCTGAAATTTTTTACTAGGGTTATTTTATAAGCTCCAACTCTAACTATTCTCAACTAGATACTCTGACTAGTTATAATGCGATCCTGTATGTCTAAAAGGCAATTGGGAAGAATGACTTAAAAGCCGGACAATAGGTATTTACCATTTGCTAATATCTTGGGTTTGTTGGCTGGACTAAAGCAGATATTGTGCAGAATCAGAAGGATCATTTCTGGATTGGTTTTGTGTTTATATTTGGCCATCTCTATAAGTTGATCCAAGCCACCATTCAATTTAACAATCATTTGCTGCCCATCTTCTCCAAATGATAAATTCAGTAAGAGTTTTATCCAAGCAACAGCCAGCATGCTGAGGCTTTTATTTCCTCCTTTTGGCAATGATAGTGATAAAAAATTCTGCAGAAAATTGTTCTAAAGTAGGAGAGAAAAAGATGTGGTTATTAAGAAATTATTTTTCACAATCCATTAACAAAACTTTGTACTTCCCACCTCTGAAAATATTGAATAACCAATAAAGGAGAATATTTGTAGCTCAGGGTTGAAATGCGGGGTCCTTGGTGCTCTCTGAGCTTGATTGTTTTCCTGCAGATGTTTCATTATCCAAACTAGATATCATCATCTAGTTTGGATAATGTCTGCAAGAAAAAAATGTCTGCAAGAAAAAAATCAAGCTTAGAGAGCACCAAGCACCCCTCAATACTGAATAAGGCATTCCACTATAAAATTTCTTGTTACATTTGAATAAATTAGCTCCCTTTGTTCTTAATTATCCTTCTAACTGTAGAACGTTTTCTTTCCACTGTTGAGATGAGGAACATCCAGTTGCTAAACTGGATCTTCCAATAACCTGTTTAGTTGCTGGCAATGGATATTGGGAACTGTAGTTCAGCAACATCTGAGGAGAATTACCGTATTTTCACCCATATAACCCGCCCACGCAAATAACCCGCCCACGCATATAACCCGCGGGTTTTCCAGATCGTGTAAAATATCTTCCGTATACCCCGCCCACGCATATAACCCGCCCACGCATATAACCCGCGGGTTTTCCAGATCGTGTAAAATATCTTCCGTATACCCCGCCCACGCATATAACCCGCCCACGCATATAACCCGCCCACGCATATAACCCGCGACGAGTAAGAGAGAAGGGAAACAGCTGAGATGGGGGGGGAAGAAACGGAGAAACAAGCCTGCGCAAGCTGGGGAAGAGGAAAGGAACGGAGGAGAAGGAAACAGCTGAGATCGGGGTGGGGGAAGAAACGGAGAAAGAAGCCTGTGTACCGGTAAGCCTCCGATCGTGTAAAATATCTTCCGTATACCCCGCCCACGCATATAACCCGCAGGGGGGCGCTGTGCATGTAAAAACCGCATATAACCCGCGGGTTATATGGGTGAAAATATGGTAATAACTCATTCTTGTGTTACCCTAGTCAGAACTTCAACTGAAAATCCAGGCCTACACAAAAGACCTTAGTCATTTATAAACTGAAAAGAAATCCTGTCTTCTATCACTGTATAGTAATCTGGAAATATAATTAGTTGGCTTATTTATAGAGTTGTATACAAAAAGTTGTATGCCATCATTTTTATTTTAGTAGTAACTGATACCCATATGAAAATTGTAAAAACAATTCGAGATTTTTTTTTCTGCAAGAGACTGTATTTTTTTCCTCATGCACAATGTAACAATTTGTCAGAGAAACATTTCAGTTGAAGAAATAATGTCAGTAAGGAGATACAGTGTGCCAACTCTGGTGTGCTACAAGACCTTTGAAGAGCTTTCACAGGAAGCTCTTAGGAAAAGGAAGTACACTTCTGAAAGACTTCTTTGGCTAGGAGAAGCGGACTACCGGCAAAAGAGCACTGGGCAATACAGAAGCCATAACATACACTCATGTGCTGCAAACGGACCTTATTATAGCTTCTGCAACTGTGCATAAAGTTGCCTATTCCAACTACAGGAAAAAAAACCTCAATAATACACAAAATGTAGAAGCTCTACATTGCCAGATGCTTCCGGTAGATATATAAGGCCAGCTATCTTCAGGAATATATGTGTCCTGAGCCTGTCAGACATGCAAAATTAAACATTCATTAATTAATTTAAAAGCCTCCAAAAGGAAACTTCCTTCAGATGTAAGCATGTATATTAAGCTGCTGTCAGGAAAAGCTATGTATACAGATAGGCGACTGCTCCATCAAACTACAAGCAAATCTCTGAGCTTTCGACATGTCTTGGCTCTACTTGGAACTGCCAAAGAGCTGAACTGAGGGATTTCTTGCACACAAGCCATTTGCTCAACAACTCAATTTTCTGCTAGAAAATCAAAAAGCAACCCATATTTTTTCCCATCTATCAGCTATTCTAAATGCTAGATGGTTACAAATGAAATGAAATAGCTTTCTAGATAATTTTATTACCTAAGGTTATAGACCAAATGTAAAGCAGTTATGAAAGTTGTGAAAAGTTCACTTTCTAACTGCAGGACTGGAAACTGAACCAAAGCTTTTTGGGTAGGGTAGGGTAGGCTAGGCTAGAATAGGGTAGGATATGGAAGGAAGGAAGGAAGGAAGGAAGGAAGGAAGGAAGGAAGGAAGGAAGGAAGGAAGGAAGGAAGGAAAATCTGGTAGAAAATAATTCAGTCATTTCTGAATTAGTGATTAAAATATTAACAACCTGCATTATTATGGAAATCTAAATCTAATTCATTCTTTCTAGCAATGGTTGTCACCTTTTAAAACTCCTACACTGCTCCTTTTAAGACTAGCAAAAGACCTTTTTATTCTCCCAGCATTGCATCTTTTCAATTTAAAGCACTTACATGATTTTTTTTTAAAAAACTTGTCATCTAATGATTTACTGCTTTATACTTACGTTGCTCATGCATCTCTTAACTTGATATTTAAAGTTTCAGTCTCTCTCTCTCTCTCTCACACACACACACACACAGCATTTTGCAATATTTTACATTGCAAAATATAAATGTTAACATCTCAATCAATCCCACACATTGAAAAGCTACTGCAATTGTCCTCATTTCTTTTCATCTGAGCAGCTTTAACTTTTTATACAGTGTTTCTATGCCTATGGAAAATGGTGGTGTGAAGAAACAGAGGGTGAGGATCTGCCTTCTCCAGTTGGTGTGCCCAATCTGAGGAAAGGGGTTCCTCTTTCTTCAGAGCCCCAGCAACAAGACACATGGCTCTGGAGCTAGATGGTGTCCTCTGTTTCTGTGAGCAGCCCATTTCCATCACAATGAGCAGCTATAATAACAACAAAACATCCACCACCACTATCTTGTTGGTTACTTCCCTTTGTTCCCCCATGCTCTTTCCTTTTTGACGTCACATTTAGCTATCTACATTAGAGTATTATTCATACCCATACAGAAACCTCTGGCTTGGGTTTTTGTTTTTGTTTTTTACAAAAAGGGCAGAGTTTTTGCCATGCATTTGGGAGTTTTAAAAATAAAGGGAGAGTTTCTGACATGCAGGAAGTGACTTTGCCATTCAAGGAAGAATTGCTGCCTCAACACAACCAATCATTTCTGGGCAGAGTTTTACTCCACAATTTCATCTCAGGATAACCACCCTGTCATGACGAAAAGAAGCAAAGAACAGAGGAGATATTTCCCCACAAAAGGCACTTCTGACATATGACAAATTATACTGACAATGCATATAATTTATCCCTAAAACGTAAGTCATGTACAAACGATGCCAAGATGCTTACATTAAACATGCAGGAATGGACGTTTTGCTGAGCTAAGAAGCAGAAATATTAACTAAAAAAACAGAACAGACAAAACAGCTTTTCTATTACTCTTTTATGGGCCAGTAATCTGGCCGATTAAAACATGTATTTGGATGTGATAATATCTGCAAGGTTCTTCCACAGAAATCAGTAATGGAAAAACTATATATATTTATAATTATATCAATTATAAATATAAATTATAATTATACACACTTGTGTTTATATCTTTAATCAGGGACTACAACTGAGCCAACACTGCAGTAATAATCCCTACAATTGTGAATATTGAGTGTTCAAAGGTAAGAAAGATGATTCATTAAGATTCCATAGATGCAGTATCTACATATACTTACATATGAATGGATGTACACACACACACACACACACACACACACACACAAATTGTGTTCCCCACACTTTGCATTTGCTTGTATTATAATTCTTAATTGTAAACCTCAATCTTCCATTCACATTTTTTTCTGCTTGACCCAGATTACCTTAACATCTTCCCTGAGGACTGAACAAAACAAAAACCACCTCCTGAATTCAGAACGCTGAATGCCTACCTTCTGAAGAACCCCTTTGCAGTCTTGAGATACAACCAGGTTTGCCAGAAGATTAAAGGTCATCTGCTGAATGATGCTGTTCTCAGACAGAGTTTGAGTTGCTAACTTCATGATGTTATGCATAAATGAGTTCCCAGCTGCCGTTCTTTGGGTTGTCTGGAAAGAGCACATGCTGCTACTTGCCACACATAGGGAAGCACAGCCTTTAAAGATCAAAATGTTGTTACAGGTAAATATGAGAGGGAGGGGAAATAACTTTTTATTAAGTTGCCTGTTCGCCGGTAAACAATCTCATACCATGTTAAAATTAGAGTTTTTGAAAACCTTCGTTTCATGTTAAAATTACATTAAAAAAACCTCTTCAATTAAACTCATATAAAAAGTATTTTTTTTGCTCAGGATTATACTATGGAGTTCTTGATGCTCTTTGAACTTGCAGATGTTTCAATGTTCAACTAGATAATATCATCAGTGCAAACTCACATTGATTCTTTTAAAAAAAAATCTAGTGTGTAATAAAACGTCTACAAGCAAACAACCAAGCTTAAGAGATCATCAAGAACTCAAGAAAACTAATATAAACCATTAAATATCACAGAACACACTTGGTTTTATCAACTGCTACAAGAGTACAATGTTGATTAGACAAAGGAATCTTGTTTCAAGCTTTTTCTCATATGAAATCCATCCTTCTCCCATGCCCAGGCTTATGGGAATAAATAGTTTATGCAGTTGCCCTTTCATGTGTACTAATTTCCTTCAACCTACACTATTTTTTGTTTGTTTTAAAAGTAATCAACTGAGAAAAAGCTACAGTTATAAATCACCCGTTCCCCCATTTTAGATTCCATCATCTGGTTTTTTTCCAAGCAGGATATTTCTTTTGTTTTTTCACTGGCTTTCAACTCCAGCTCTTCTAGCCGTATTCTAACTAGAGGCATGTTGGCATTTATCATCTAAATGTACTATTAGAGAGAGTGATTCATGATGATTAAAAGAAGTGAAGAAAGGAGAGCTTTCTTCTTTAAAACATAAAGTGATAGAATTCATTGGCATAACATTATCTATGAAGACACATCCACCAACAGCGTGATCATTCATCTTCATAAAACAATGACAAAACATAATATGAATAAATTTGCATCATTTAATGGTGGAAACCCAGACATTAGAAGCCTATTATGGTGCATTTTTAAAGTAGTGTAATATTTTGAAGAATATGGCATATATTAAGTCATGCAATAAGACATGTAATAATCTCTAACATCAGTTTAGGAATGACAAGAACTCAAAATTATCTGGCATGAATTCCTACTTCTTTTAAACCAGCATTTTCATACTTTAAAACATTTCTGGATGTTACCAAAAAAGTTAAGTGGTGGATATTTGGATGCTTATATGGGAGTTGACTTTTTTTATGATCAGATTATAAAATCCAAGTTAGAGAAGAATTTTGGGGCTGTAATGCTTGCTTGATCTTTCAAGTGAAATAATTCCAAGTTCAAATTCTGTGTCAAGAGATAGTGAAATGTGAAAGCTTCCCTACTATTAATGACTTCTCACTGATGTATTTTTACACAGGAACAAGCATTTGCTGGGAGCCACAAGGAACTTAATTTAGTTTGAGGGATAAACAAAATTTGGTTTGCAGACGCAGATCTCAACCATGGCTGTAACCCAAAAATCTACTGGAAGCCTTTCCAAGGATTTGACGTGTGTAATGGAACTGATGGAGCTTTTTCTCTGGAATATATTACATCACAGTATAAGCTGCTTTTGAATATAGTCTCAGTTTGAAAACTGAAAACATGCCATGTACACGTACAACCTTGGATATGCAGAAGTATTTAGATTATCATACAGATGTATAATTTAAAATGGAATATAATTTAAACTGAATTCAACTTTGATGAAATTGAGGACTGTAAGGATGCACACATTAACTTTTTCAGTTTTTTGATGAAGAGGAATTAAGGCATTCCTGAAGACTTCCAAAGCTATTTTTAAATACAAACTCATTTGCTTTCTATTATAACTCGTCATGCTTTGAATTAAATTTTGCACTCTCCTCCGTTACATTTTTGATGTCTAGGTTTTTTTTTTTTTTGTTTTTTTTTTTTTTTTTAGGTTTTTTTTTTTTTAGGTTTTTTTTTATTT